GTGTGTGTGTGTGTGTGTGTGTGTGTATGAGAGAGAGAGAGAGGCTGTTTTTAAAGTCAACATGGCAGGTGAGGTGACAATAGTATTCATCCTCCTCCTTGGGAGCAAGAAAAGGGCAAAGTCTGTTGGACTCAAGAAACTTAGACAACCACCTGGCAGATATCCTTTGATTTGTATTCCTGCATCGATCATGGGGTTGGACTTGATGGCCTCGTAGACCCCTTCCAATGTCATGATTCTGTGACTCCAACTCCCGTTAGCACTAGCTGGTGTAGCCAACGATGAGGACGGCTAGAAGACCTAGCCAAGCAACGTTTAGAGAGGTTGCCTTTTGCTCTCTCCCTTTTGGGCCAGCGTTTGGCCTTCTAGATGTTTTGGCTCACAGTTCCCGGTCCTGCCCGGTCAGCAGAGCCAGTGGTAAGGTATTTTGGGAATTTCAGGAACATCCGAAGAGCCATTGATGTTCCATTGTGAGCAAAAAGCATACGGGTTAATACGGTGGCCTGCAACGGATGCCTTCAGCCAGCTGCTCAGAATGGCCACCAGCTCATAGTTTTGCTCTGGGAAGGCCCCCTCCTAGGCATGTACAGGTGTGTGGTTTTGTTTTAATCATTCTGTTTCTGTAATAAGCAATATACAGTTGTGCCCCGCTTAACGATTACCCTGTATAACAACGAATCCGCTTCACGATGATGTTTTTGCAAAACAATGTTTTAAATGGGTTTTTTTCGCTTTGCGAAGATCGCTTCCCTGTTTCGGGAACTGATTCTTCGCATTACGACAATCAAAACAGCTGATTGTTGGGTTTTCAAAATGGCCACCGGGTGCTCAAAATGGCTCCCCGCTGTATTTTTGGACAGATTCCTCGCTCTACAGGCACCGAAAATGGCCGCCCCTATGGAGGATCTTCCCTGGACAGTGAGTTTTTCAGCCCATTGGAACGCATTGAACGGTTTTCAGTGCGTTTCAATTGGCTTTTTTATTTTGCTTTACGTTTTTGCTCTACAGCGATTTCGCTGGAACGAATTAACGTCGTTAAGCGAGGCACCACTGTAGGTCCCCGTTGACGCATGGCTTGTTAATCGTCATGTGTCATCAAGTCAATTCTGACTTACGGTCAGAACTGACTTTTTGGGGATTTCCAAGTAGAAAATATTCATTAGTGGCTTAACATTTCTGTCTTCTTGGGGTGCCCTGGGACTGTGCAGCTTGCCCGAGGCGACACAGGCTGGCTCTACTCACAAAGTCGTGTTGCAGAGTTGCCTTATCAACTTCCTCAAAATCATAGATTTTGGAAGAGAAGGACTCGCAGCGTTAAAAACCTGTGCTTCGTATCCCTATGGTCTTGAGTTCAAAAAACCCCTCTACAATCCCTCTGTGCTGCCTTGGAGAAATACCTCTGGAAGGGGTGAACTGGTGGCCCTCCAGATGTTTGTTAGAGTAGTCCAAATCCCAGTAGCCGTATTGGGATGGGTAGTACTTTTGGAGGGGAGGGAGTTGTAGCCAGAGTGGGGAGGAGTGGGCGGGCATGAGGGTATGATGAGCATATATTGGCTCCTACCTGCCTTGTGCTTCCTTTCCACATGTGAACAACTAGACGTGTTATCTCTGCTGAAGGGTGGGCTTTGGTGGTGGTGGTGGTATCCTTCCAGTAGATCCTTGCATGCATTGAGTATCAGCTGCCTGGATCAAAGGCTTGGTTTCCCTTATGTCTGTTTCTTCTAGCATCATCTGGAAGGGTATGCCCACTTTAGCAAAACTACAGTCTCATGTTGGAGGAACAATTCATCCTTTCTCTCTTTTAAGTACCTGGTCCCTGAATGTTCCCTAATTAGGGTTGTGTTTCTGAGAGTGTGTGTGTTATTTTGAGAATGAATTAGTTAAGGGCCATCTCCTGTATTCCTAAGATCCCTAGTAATTGTTAGGGGTGGGATTTTCATATATCTTGGACTTGTAAAGACCATAATTTCCCATTCTGGGAGTTCTACCTAATTTATACACACCTTGTTGTTGTTTAGTCACTAAGATGTGTCCGACTCTTTGTGACCCCATGGACCAGAGCATGCCAGGCCCTCCTGTCTTCCACGGCCTCCCAGAGTTGGGTCAAATTCGTGCTGGTAGCTTCGCAGACACTGTCCATCCATCTCGTCCTCTGTCGTCCCCTTCTCCTCTTGCCTTCACACTTTCCCAACATCAAGGTCTTTTCCAAGGAGTCTTCTCTTCTCCTGAGATGGCCAAAGTATTGGAGCCTCAGCTTCAGGATCTGTCCTTCCAGGGAGCACTCAGGGTTGATTTCCTTCAAAATGGATAGGTTTGTTCTCCTTGCAGTCCAGGGGACTCTCAAGAGTCTCCTCCAGCACCACAATTCAAAAGCATCAATTCTTTGGCGATCAGCCTTCTTTATGGTCCAGCTCTCACTTCCTTACATCGCTACAGGAAAAACCATAGCTTTGACTATGTGGACTTCTGTCGGCAAGGTGATGTCTCTGCTTTTTAAGATGCTCTTTAGGTTTGACATCGCTTTCCTCCCAAGAAGCAGGCGTCTTTTAATTTCGTGGCTGCTGTCACCATCTGCAGTAATCATGGAGGCCAAGAAAGTAAAATCTGTCACTGCCTCCATATCTTCCCCTTTGATTTGCCAGGAGGTGACGGACCAGTGGCCATGATCT